AAGCCTTGGGTCCGGTCCTGTATTTCCTTCCCAAGGCCAACCACTTCCTCCTGGGAAACACTCAGCTCTGAGGTGCCTGTCACCGCGGTGGTTGTTTCTCCCCAGTTATCATCCTGAGAGGGGAAATGGAAAGGCGTGTTAGAGCCATGAATGCTCATTTGGATAGCCTGTGCTGTTTATATTGGTATTTAACTAAAACAAACAAACAAATGATACAAATTTTTTAAAGCTGTATGAAGTGATGGTTTTTTGTCAAAGTTGTGAGCTTTGTCTGTCTGTCCACTTCTGCTGTACTGCAGTAGAGAGCAAAACTGACTAAGCATTGAAAATGTTATGAAAAACCTGCAGATCAACCAATACATTTAAACCTGAATCACAAAGACAATAGTGTTTCAATTTTATTTCTTCCTTTGCACAAGAAACCACCACAGGTTTTGTACACAGAGAATCTATCATGTTTTATTTTCTTGGAGGTTTTCCTCATTATAACAAGCCTTCAAAATCCCTTTAAAGTAATATAGGATGACAGGATGGTATGTGCAGTACCATTCGCTTTGGAAGGAAGCTGCACACACTGAGTGAAGGCACATACACACAAGCTGACACACAAAAAGCTCAAGCTTTCCATGTCCATCATTACAAATTAGAGTCACATATTTTTTCCTTGACAGCAGGTCATTTTAAGCATCCAAAGACACATAGAGAGAATAAATTAATGACAGGTCTGTTCTAAAGAGGCAATTATTCTTTGTGTATCTCTCATTATTAATTCATGTAATTAGCCATTTGTTGTCTCCCAGAGTGTCACTGCATTGTATATATCTCCAACGACAACCAATCACAGGAGCAGCAGATGTAGCGAGAGGAATGAGGGATAGAAAAATGACAGGCCGAACAGACGAGCCTTAATGACTTCACACATGTGTGCACAGCCTGTGAGTAAATAAGATGGAGGGAAGAGGGTCACATTAGTTCTCACCTGTCTAGAGTGTGTGTAAACTGTGTGATTTCACGCTGCTGAGAAGTTAATATGAACTTTTGCAGATTAATCCTGCCGCTATTTGTGGATTGTAAAATATGAAATCAACTTTTCATTTGCATATTTCCAATCAGGAAAACCCAACATAAATATTAATTTTGTTCTCTGTTACTGTTCACAGCCAATTAACTGAGCCATGTTAGAGGAATGGATGCTAACCAGAGCCAGAAGGTGAATGAGCGTGAGAAGAAAAGCGAGAGGATGGTGGCGGTTAAGGTGTAAGAGAGCAGTAGGGGGAAGGCATCATACATCTGTCAGCTGATGTGTGAGGCCAGTGGATTGTTCTCACTATCAGCTTTGTTTTTGGGATAAAGTGAAACCCAGTCAGTCTCTGAGCGGTAAAATTAATAAGACAAATTTACATTACCTTGATGTCATCTCTTTTTAAATGTCAATTCAGCCTGTCACAATCCATTAGATGACTTTGCAATCACAAGTTAGAACTGGACTGACATCTCAGTGCAGCTGAATCATTGCTTGTCTACTTAACAGGTAGCTGTTATGAGCCATGATCAGATTGGTATCGTATGCTTGTTCTGTTTTCTGACAACAGAAATGAATGAGCAGTTCAGTTTGGGAAATTCTCTTTTTTTTATATTATTTTTGATGGGATTTAGATAAGAATCTTGATACCAGAAGTATGTCTGCATGATAGACATAAGCAGGAGTTAGCAGCCTGTTAGCTTAGCTTTGCAAGACTGGAGAACAGGGGAAAACAGTTTGGCACTCCTAAGTCTCACTGTTTAACAAATTATACCTCCTGTTTATCTGTGCAAAAAAATGAAGTGTAGAAATGACAGTTTGTGTTTTTACGGGTGTTTTTTTTTTCTTGGCTTGGTGCAGTGACTCCCTGGAGTCTCTGTTGGTTGTCTGGCAGTTAAACAAAGCTAAGCTACCCATCTGCTGGTTGTAGCTTCATATTGAGAAATCTTCACATTTGGATCTCAGCAAGAAAGCAAGTACTCTGGCTATTCCCCCCAAAATGTTGAATTATTCCTTTAAAACACTTTATGCTCACAGAGAGCAAGAAGGGACACATTACAGGTTGAACCAGCTCAGATACCCCTTGTCAGAAATCTTGGCTATCAGGCACCGTTTTGTTGTTTAAAGATATGGAGGAAGATGAGTACAAGCTACTTTCATATTGCTTACTGTAGCACAATTGCAGATCTTTACAAAAACAACCTAGAAACACTAGTGTACATCGGTCTCTGTTCGGTACGCTGCATCTGAACGTTTCATTCTCCCTAACAGTCTGTCTGCCAGAGTGTTTATCAGAATCAGAATCTGCTTTATTGGCCAGGTGTGTCAGACACATGAGAAGTTTGACTCTGGTATATCGGCTCATAGTGTGTATGTACATATCCCCATGCAAGGGGCAAATAAACAGTAAACCAGCATAAGGCTGTGTAATATAACAAAATAAGCAGTATTAGAAAGCAACAAACTGTGCAAACAATACAAAATAAGCAGTATAAACAGGCAGTAAACAATGCAGACAGACAAGCTTTCATGGTAAAGTCTCATTCAGTGACAGAAAGTGTGTATCCCTGACTGAGCGACCACACTATTAAAACCAGACATCAGGTATCAGTGGAATAATCCTGAAGATTAATGCTACTCTACTCAGTGTGGAGAAAGACCAAGTAACAGAGAGGATATAACAGAGAAGGGTTACAGGAGAGAGTGAGATTGGCATGATGGCTGCTTACTTGGCAGTCAGGCCCACAGCAAACATTCTGCCAGCTACAAAGCAGCTCAGCACCTCAGGTCTAACCTATAGGACCTATGAGCCTGAAAAGCAGTTTCCCTTCAGTTTACTCCATTCCTTCTATTGGCGTGATTAATTTTCCATCAAATCCCAAGCTGTTGGTGTGGTAGTTGTGAGTAGGTGTGTGCTGATTGATTCAGGGCAAAGAAGCAAAGTGTGAAATGTTAAAACAATAGTTTGGTGCTTCTCAACAAATGCTCTGTTGTTGCTGGTGCTATCACTGTGAGGAAACTGAAGCTGCTGCCTTCTGGCATAAAGTCACAGTGCCTAAGTCTCACAAAATAGCATGGGCAGTCTCAGTGACAGATTTGGCGCTCTCTCCATGACTCAACACACCCACACACACACACACACACACACACACACACACACACACACACACACACACACACACACACACAACACACACAGAAGCTGTGCTCCCAGACTGTATCCTTATGCCATAGGCATGCGTGTAAACATGAAGGATTATTCATATCAGCTTTCCTCACAGTGCTGTTTGGTTGGATGCTAAGGCTAATCTCAGGCTGTGAGAAGGTCCCTCTGCGAACAATGCTGTTCCAAAAAAGCACCGGCTGGAGCGAACTTTGGTGATGGTGGTGGCGGTGACGGTGGTGGCGGTGACGGTGGTGGCGGTGACGGTAGTGCCGATGTGCCAGTTGGACACATTTGTCTGCAGGGTTTATGCAATACAAAGGAAGATTATCTTACACTCCTGACAATAGATGTGAGTTACAAGCTGACAAGACAGCGTGGAATGTGGCTTCCCAGCCAGGAGGAGATGCGGAGCGGAGGCGGCAAAATGGGTCAGACCTCTCAAAAACTGTTAGAAAGTCTGTTTGAAGAAAATATCTAATCACACATACACTTTCCCCTTCTCTTTCTTTTATGTACAAACCAACACAGACAAATGATCTTATGATCTTATGATCTTAGATTAGACTGGAAACATCAGAGTGATGAGATTCAAGATAGCCACTAGTTGTTACTCAGAAATAATCTGGAAAAGATTTTGATTAAACAAATAATCTGTGAGCTCTGGAGGTGTCTAACTAAGCCAACCAGCTGCTGGTTGTAGCTGCATATTTAACATACAGATACAAGAGTGGTATAAAAAGAAAATAGGTGTATAAATGCCAATCAGTTTCTTTTACCAGAGATCACAGTATCTGACTGTGTCTTTAATCCCTGTAGAGTTGAATATCCACTCTGAGCTTCATTATGACAGCAGTCTGCTGCCACATGTCTACTTGAATCCTATTTTGCTTGTGGAGCTCAGCAGAATTAACTTCATGAGATGACTGGCACAAATTTGCTCTGCTTTCAAAGCCATCAGGCCTGACAGTTATACCCAGAATCACACATCCACATCCACACACTGTAAGGCAGCATTGCCTGTACAAATCCTCCCAGGCCGACAAGAGGGATGCTAATCCTCTGACCTATTCTCATCATTGTTATTATGTCTCGGGCACTGTGTTCAATGGTCAGCCAGCTGTGTGAGGGCAATTTTATAAGGTCATGGTGCAGAGTTAATAGCTGGATAACCGGGCCTTCTGATGAATGAGATTCCTGCGGGGACTGTGTCTCAGGATACAGCCCGCATTCCGTTCACACATCTCATTTTTGTATTGTTTAGTTTTGTTACTCCAATCAACATTTAACTGTCTTCAGTGTCAATACCTGGGCATCATCTCCATGATCTGCTGCTGATGTGGGTTCTCCAGGCAGTGGCTCTCCATTGTGAACAGGGGAGTCCTGGGATGGCGTGTCAGGGGGGTTTATGACAACGGACCTCTCAGAGCGACTGCTGTCTTTACTGCTGCTGGGCTTGTGCCGCTCATGGCTTCGATCCCTGGAAAACACATTAACATACATAATGAACATAAAGGACGGTATAGGTCTGAAATGTATGTAGACTTACATTCAGTATTGATTGATGTGTAGATTATTTTCTTGATTGATTTTTTCTTTTGTCTCTAAAATGTTGAAAATAAGACAATATATAATATATACTACATGAAAACATGTTTGGTACAATTTTCTTCAGCACAGCCAAATTTTTTGACCTGACAGTTATTTGTACATTTGACATACAAAATCAACGTGACCATCGACTCCAACATATTTTACTCATACTGTACTTCAAATAAAATCAGAAAATTTCTCACTTTGAAAAGCTGGACCAAGCAAATATTAACAAGTATTTCTGTTTAATAAATGACTGAAGCAATTAATCAATAATCAAAAACTCTGGCCATAAAATTCAATGTTATCAAAAAGTGCATTAATCGTTTTAAATCTATACTGTACTTGTGCACAGGATTAAAATCTTATTTACATCTTGTCTGAAGCCAAACTGCCATCAAACCTTCTGTATTTAGCTTCTAAAAAGTGAAAATGTCTGACATAAGAGTACATTTTTTGGACTGCTTGTCAAATCAATACATTTAAAGTCATCACCTTAGAATCATGACCTTGTGATTGGCAGTTTTATAGGCCAAACTATTTATCAAAAGATTGAGAAAATAATGAACAGATCAATAATGAAAACAACTGTTAAAGATAGCCCATCCAAAAACAAAAAACAAACAGATGGAATAACATGGAAGTTAATATTCTATCAGATAATTTCAGCATTGAGAAAAGGCCAGGAATGAAATGATTCTTTTATTTTCAAAATAGACAGAGCGAGTCACTGAAACAGGTTAGAGCCACTCAGCTGTGATGGTCCTAATCCACAGGTTCTGTCTGTTTCAATGTCCTGCTTGCTCCCGCTCTGTCTCTCTCTTAGTCTCCCATCTCATCTATTTGGCTTCAACCAACATGTGGCCCGCTCAAACTGAAGACAAACACAACAAACTCAACGTGCACCAAAAGCATTCCAAGGGCCAGGGTGAGAGGTGCAGCATGCGATCTAGCAAAAACAAATTCATGTCACAGGAAGGGAGCGACAGATACACATACAGTAGAGAAGCAGGCAGTTGGACAGAAAGGCAGACAGACAGGAAACACACCCATGTCGGTTTGAACGCCCGGAGCGGCTGGAGTGGTAGGAGTAGCCCGAGTGGGTCGACTCGGTGTCCATTCCAGCACAGTTCAGAGCCGGTGATTGGCCAGTAGGATGAAGAGAGACTCGTCGTGTGGCAGAAAGGGTATGTTGGCAGCAGTGATCAGGAGCAGGGATGGGTTGCTATAGTGACAGACCTCAGGAATCCACGGCAACTGACAACTACCCCAGAGAGCAGCTTTAGTAGCCACATTGACCTGAGAGACGGATAGATAGAGGGTATGAGAGAGATGTTTGCTTCCAAGCTACAGGGTATAACATGTAAGATATACTATAGCCAGGCTACAAGAAGATGCATATACACTCTATTAATAGGGCGTTTACTTCATATACTATTAAAAAAAATCTATTAATGGTGTTTTTCTCAACTGGTTCTACTGGGATATGTGTGTTTGTTTGTGTGCTCTGCTGCATATACTCTTTAACTGCCCACTAGGGATAAATGAAGTTCTTTGAATTGAACCAAATTGTTTGCTTGGATATGCTGTATAATTTTTGCAGCATAAAGTTTAAAATGCTCTTTGATTATTTATCTACACTGGAGGGAATACAGTACAAAACTCTGAGGATACAGTAAATGTTGCAGCCTTCATTTATTTATTACTAGATAAAGTTGAAAATACTGAGCTTAAAAACAGTGGACTAAACATTTACACTTACAATATATCTGTAAGTTTTTAATTGTTAAATGTAGATAATACTGGGAAACACACTAATTCAGATTGATAATTGTCAGATAAAAGTCAGACAAAATACAATAAATGAAATAAACAAGGAAATGATCTCAGTGTCCTTAATAATAGCTACAGCTCAGTTCACCACATAAAACATTCAACAAAATATAGATTTGCATTAATGTGTGGTACCTCTCTGTGTCATTATGAGGTTGAACTGAATCTGCCAGACTCATTTCCTGGGCCTTAATGTATCCCATGTGATACCGAAGGATAGAGTGCTTCACCATGCATGACCATTCATTTAGGCTTCAATCTACACCCTGTCTGCCTCCCAGCTGCTGTCCTGACAACCACCTGCCCATCACCATCCCCATCCCAGTCTTATTTTACTAACTAGGGCTCTTCTCCTTCCCATCATTTACAGGCTAGTTGTTATCTCTATAGCCAGTGGTGCATATAAACACTAAAACAGCTCATTCAACATATTAGAATGAGTGTGAATCCACACAGCAACATGGAGATTGTGCTCTGAAAATGATGGTTAGAAGATTAAAATGATACAGATGTGGTTGAATGTTTTTTTCTTTCCTTGTGTTACCCATCATGGGCAATGTGTCTGGTACATTTGAGAAACAAATTTCCCATTAAGGCTGGTCATGCAATGTATATACATTTTGTAAAAACATTGCCACTACCTCTAAAATTCCTTAAAGTATGTCAGGAACATTCTAGAATTCGTATTGTCTTACAGATCTGTATAGTAACCTGTCATCCAGATGTAAAACAACACTGTGGTGACTAAACGCACAATTTCTCTGAGAGTAAATCTGGCATTGTTCTTCTCTGGTGCAGTCGTTTGTGCTATCATATGCAGAGGAACACAATGTTGAACAAAACAGAGCTGTATACACCGAATTTCAATAAATAATGCACTTGAATGTTCAACTCATCGTATCAAAGCAGATATCGCAGCATCAAATTTTAAACCACAGTTTTAGTGGCATCTCTCTAACCCACATCTGGAGCGTCCACTGTTGCCTTGGCAACACTGGAGGCAGGAGGCCCCATCCTGCAGCACTAATCAATCACCCCTGCTGAGAGTAAATTTGTGATACATTTATCTGTGTGAGGAACAGAGTGGGGGGTGTGGGGGTACAAAGAGCAAACAATGGCTTCTCCTCATGCACGGCACCCGTATCACTAAATGAATGAGCCTGTGGTTCGAACAAAAGCCATTAACCCCCTGAGTGCTGATCTCTGAACACGTGGCAGTGGTATGTGGGCCAAGATGATTCCTTTGGGAAGCCACTCATCCCTGACACAAGCATGAAGACACATAGTAAACCAGGCCATGTGGAAAATTGCAGCCACAAGGTAAAAAAAACTATCAGTTACAAACCAACAGATAACTATCAATAAAGCACGTGAGGATAACAATATGAATCAGAGATGTGTGACTGCCTGTTTAGCCTGATCTATCCTAAAAATAAAAACTCAGCAATACTCTGTTGGTGTAGAAAACATAATCTCTAGTGAAGCATAGTTGCATCAGAGTAGACTGTTCTGGCTGGCTGCACCAAGAAGAGCTTCAGGAGGGCAGAAAGTGACACTAATGCAAAACAAACACTCATTAGTGTGTTTAGTAGATTCAGGCTGTTATGCAGGGGGAGCTACTGTAATTTCACATGATCTGGCTCAGAGATACAGTCTAATGGGGTGTTAATTCATTTTTTTGTTTTATCCCAAAGAAAAAGTATAAACAGACTGCACTATTTGTGGGTATCCATGGGGAGAGCTGAAACATCTGATAGGTCAGGTTCTTTGCAACATTTTTCCTTGTTGATCCAACTCATCAATTAATAACAAAACTGAGAATGTGGGATTTAATCGTCCTTGTCTCTAAAACTATTTGGTCTCCAAAGAGGTGTGGAACTTCAGATTCCATTAAAGTGTGATGCAGTGTTGGCTTCCTAAATGGCACAGATCTGCCTGATAGCACCATAGCATCTGAGCCCTCCCTCACACCCATTAACCCTGGTGTCTTCCTTCCTTTCTGTGCTCCCTGCTCTCATGGCATTATGCCATAATGTGCCAGATGCAGCAGCTGGGAGTCTGCTGGGCTAGTTCCTTTCACAGGTGTTTCACAGTTCAAAATCAAAATAAATCTCCCATCTACGCATAAAATATACAGTAAATTGTACTTTAGGGCTACATGTAATATTCCTGATCAATTAAACTACTAAAATTCTCAATTATCTGTTTAATTATTTGGTTTTGATAGTAAAAAGAGAGAAAAAGCAACACAGTGGGCATCACAGTTTTCCAGAGCCCAAGAGGCTGTCTTCAGATAGCTTGTTTTGTTCAAGCAGCTGTTCAAATGCTCACAATATTTTATTATCAGAGAACACTAAAGAAGACATTCATATGTGAGAACCAATGAACTGTCATACTGCCATAAACAGTTAACCTATTATCAGTTAATTTTCTGTTGATTGACTAATCAGTCAGCTGGCCAGTTGTTTCAGCTGTATATTATCTTACTGTAACAAAACACAATCTTTAAAAAGGGGGCACACATGAGTAACACAGTCCACTAAGCTCGGTAAAACCTCTAACAAAAGGCGATACAGTGTTTGGCACACACACACACTCACACTCAACACAAAGTAAAAGGAGAAAGCTAAGACCTGACACAGTTCTCTGGAATGCAAACTTAGTCCCATCTGATCTGCTCATGTTGAACTAAACTAAAGTACAGGGAGAGGGAGAGAGATAGTGCGGGGTGGGAACGCGGTGGAAGAGCTATCTCAGTTACATTCCTACTTTAACAGCCGTGCTTTAATGTCGGTAAATACGCACTACTGTGCAATGCGCGTTATAGTGTGCTACATAAACTTTGCAGGATCCTAATACTCCTCTGTAGCCTAAAGGCGGCGAAAGGTAGCTCCACTTCTCGTTACACGTCTGACACACTGCCCTGCGGCCAGAAAACATCCTTTAAAAGGGAACAACAGCAGAAGCATTGAGATTACAGCATTCTTTTGATCATTCATGGCAAAAAGAGCTTCCAGGGGATGACTCATCTGTTTAAGGGGGTTCCAAACCTCAGTGTCCCTCTCCACACAGGACCTATCAGCACTACAGGTAAATAATATATGGCTGTAGGTGCTACAGTTTCTCTGCAAAATCATGACTGAGATACCGTGGAAGACAGAGGAGACACGTGAATTTGGCTTCAGTCATCCAGCTGTGCACAGCGCGCTCTCCAGACAGCTGATGATAGTGATACGTATATTCGAAAAGCCCTTCATTTTAAAGCCTAGTGAGGTGGTGCTTTTCTATCATACAGCTGCGGTTCCAGTAGACATCGTTTCAATCTCATCCTGAACCCCATTAACCACAGTACGCTGAGCTTACTATCTCCTAAAATAAAGCGTGTGTTCTTTTGGTTGGGCATGCATTTTTTTTACATGTAATATGTGCTGGAGCAATATTTTAATAAAAAACTATAAAAGCTTAACCCACAGGTAAAGGTCTGATTTGAAGGAAACCATTTTCCCCATGACGACAGCATTGAACTTCATCAGTAATTCCTACATGGGGTTGTGTCTCAGGCTTTTGGCAAAGATACCCGGTGTAATGATCACAGCATCGCGATTATTAATCCATTAAACCAACCTTTTTCCTCAGATGTATGTCCTATTCATTTAAGTGTCGGTGCGAGTGTCTTGCCGCCGCGCTGCTGGTGCCGCTGCTGCTGTGAGGCGCGTCTGCACTGAGAGGTTGCTCCCTCATACAAACCTGGCCATTGTTGTTAGCAGGACCAGAGAGGGGAGAGGGAGGCAGCAAGGAGGTACAAAACCCTCAAGAGCGCTAAAGTGATTATTTTCAGCTGGAGCCCACTAGAGGTCGTGTTTTGGTTGTTTTGGAAACGCTGTAACAGGCGCGTTATCTCAGACATTTAAACAGACAGTGTTGTTTTACTTATTGTTACTCCAATACCATGTTTGGCCTTCACTATACGAAAAGGTATGCATGTGTGGAGTTTGATACCAGAAGCCTGCTTTCACATTCATCTGCTGAAGGAGGAACGTTTCTAACTTGGGTTTTGATGGTTTGATGGTTGATCAGTTTGGAAGCCAGTGGAACAGTTTAAACAAGTGAGGCATATAAACCTGAAACCTACAGTGGGAATGGACTTTTCAGTAGTTATCTTGTGCCCAGCATTTAAACATTTGAAATAAAAATTTTATTAAATTTTATTCAAAGATTATCAGTTGTGATGAAGAAGGACTAAATGTGTGTTTAAGTCCTTTGTAAAACATATTTTCTCTCTCACCCCAAGGGCCTGAAGTTCACCAATAAGGACCCAAAGGTGGGTCCTGCTTAAATATGTGATCATGAGGTCCTGTCTTCAAAAGAGGGTCCTTATGTCAAAATCTTATTATTTCCTACAATAGGACCACACCTACCAGCATAATAATAGAAAAGGAAAGGGACAGAAAATGGGCCGGAGGTTGGAGACATGGAGCTGACATACTGTCCAGTCATGGCAAAAAATATTGGCACCCCTGCATTTCTGCCAGATAAGGCACCACTCCTCACAGAAAGTGGTTGCAAACACATATTCTTTGGTATTCTCATCTTCTATACCGCGCAGTCCCAAATGGGGTCTTGGGCTTTGCTATTCTCATGTTTATTTATTTTGTTTGCATTGGAACAACACTAAAAAGCAGAAAACCCCCCAAATATCATACATTCCACACAGAACTCCAAAATTGGACTAGACAGAATTATTGACACCTTTTCAAAATCATCAGAAATAGTTGTATTTCCAGCATGTGCTGCTCCTTTAATTTGTAATGAAACTCACCTGGAGCAGTTAACAGGTACTGGCTATATAGAAACCACACCTCCAGCCAGTTAAAATGGAGAAAAGTTGGCTCAACCTTTGTGTCATGTGGACCACACTGAGCACGGAGAAAAGAAAGAAAAGCAAAATTTGTCTGAGGATCTGAGAACTACAATAGTGGAAACGCCTGGACAGTCTCAAGGCTCCAAGTCCATCTCTAGACATCTGGCTGTTCCTGTGTCCACTGTGCACAACATTGTCAAGACGTTTACAGCCCACGGCGCTGTAGCTAATCTCCCTGGATGTGGACGAAACAGAAAAATGGATGACAGATTGCAATGAAGGGTTGTTCAGATGTTGGATAAAGAGCCTCAATCAGCTTCCAAACAAATTCAAGCATCTTCAGACAGAGCACAGAGACAAAGTTTAAACACCATGTTTTGCTGTTATGAAAAGAGTCACTTTTACATTCATCCAAGAAATAAAGGAAAAACGCCAAGAAATGTGGCAGCGATAATAGTAACAAGCTACAAGCAAAGAAGGAAACACTCCATAAATGTTTACCACATTTTATTAGCTGTCTGCATCAAGAGCAACAACACAAACAACAACAACAATAATGTGTTCACCATATAGCAATACTGAGTTTTAAAGTTCAGTCTTGACTTCAGCAGCAACTGACAAACCGGTTTCACCTCAAGGTCCATTTAGGAGTACAGTAGTTGTTCTATCTGAGCGCTTTCTACGTGTGAACACCGACAACACAGTGACACTTCAGCAAACTCTGATAACGCTCTTATGAAGTGGCTGAAAGCACCAGAACAGCAACTAAATGTAAATAAAGCAGCATTTCCAGTGACTCAAGACACATGAGGAACATGAAACTATATCCTTTAATATGAACTGAAGAGCACTAATGATTCTTTAACCATAACCTGGCATAGCGTTATGCGCATCTGAGGTGAAATCAAGTAGCACTCCATCAGAGGGCAGTGTTACTCCTTGTGAATGCTAAGTCTTTACCAAAATGAAGAATATGTATGAAAGAAGCATGGCATAACATTTAAGGCACAGCACTAAAGCTGGCCCCACATGAGAGTAAATTTAAGTCTAAAATCAAGTCTAATTCCCAGACACTGTGGTGTGTGATGGCTCTATGCAGACCTTTGGACCAATACTGGCTAAAACTATTCAGAATCATCTGTGTATGAGCTTTAATTTCCCTGCTCCATTCATCTTAAAATCTGGTGTTAGCCTTCCCATTTCCCCCTCTAGTCCTTTGTATCCCGTGTGTAGACCAGTGTGTAGTGTGTAGACAAAAGGCTGTCACTCTTGCTGCCGGAATAGACATGAACAATACCCAAAGCCCCTCGGGCCACATTATACTGCAGAGACTCATATAAAAGGATGAGAGAGGCAATGCAGACAGCCTCTGACTAATGGAGAGAAAACGCAAAGGGATAAGCAGGAGTTCACGTCCGGTGGCTGATCTAATGGGATATAGAGTAAAAGACTTCTGTTGGCGATGTGAATAGTCAGGGCAATAAGCCAGACACTGGAGCAAAACCTTAAATGTTCAATAATTTAAGAAACCTTGAACAGCAGGTTCTAGGACAAACTGTTGTGAGGCTGTTTTTACATTCTGATATAGATATGGGCTAAACTTACCAAAGTTATTCACCCACATTTTACCCAACACATTTTGGCCTCGATCCAAAAACACTGAACCAGAACTTTAATTGTGACGGTAAGTTCTCTGTTCTTTCATTCTGCCAGTTAAAAACAAAATTCCTACAAATGTTATTAAAAAAAGGTGGGGTGGGGGGGACTTTCACCATCAGTCAGATAACAAAACATGCTGAGTGTTGTAAAAACAACTGTGCACTTCACACACCAGTACACTTGCAAGGACATTATATGAAAGGTTCTGGATGTTTGTTTTTTTTGGTTGCTTCTTGTATACTCTTACATTACTGTCATTTGTATGGATGTGCATGTGCGCATGTGTCCCCAGAGAGAAAGCAGACGGATGGCCACCATATGGTTGCTGTGGTTTGTCTGGAGAAACACCTGCCTCATCCAATACCAAGCCCTCAGCCACATCCCAGAGGAACAGCATGTGTGGTATAGCTACTTCACCTGAAGTAAAAAATAACTACATAAAAATGTCAAATATGCTAAATGTATTCCCAATCAGGTTTTGCCTTTTTAAGACACTGCACAAGTTAGCTGTTATATTTTATCTTCAACATATAGATTTCAAATCCAGTTTTAGCTGCAGCTGAATCCCAGTGAAAGTACACAAAAGACCAGTCCACTATTTTTTTGTGTAATTGAAATAAATATTTTTACAAACGGGTACAAATGGGAATCAAAGTCACAAAAAAAAAAAATAATAATAATAATCAGACTAATTACAAAACATAGGGGGTCAACCTTTGTCAAAAATGATCATAGAAGCTCCCAGAAATATTTCCATTCGTTCCAAACATTTTGATGACAGCATCCTGCAGCTGTTTCCCATGATAAAAAGTCAATATGATGTTCCCACAGGACAGTGTGTCTGTAGTGTGTAGAGCTTGTGGTATTGATATATATTTTAGCGTTGCTTCCTGAAATAACCCAGCTGCTCATCATGTCTCAGTGAAATCTCCAACTGTTCACCGTGTTACAGCCTAAACATCCAGCACGTGGTTGAGGTAGGAGATGTAACGAATCGCGAGTCGTAGGATCTCAATCTTGGACAACTTCTTGTCTGGAGGGAGCGTTGGGAGCAGTTTTCTCAGCTCAGCAAAGGCCACGTTGAAGGCCACTACGCGGATTCGCTCCCTGGTGGCGTGCGCGGATCGATACTTAGCTGTCGCGCGCCTTCTCCGCCTCTTCTCCTCCCTGCTGAGGGCGGTCACACGCACGGGGCGCGCCTTCCCATCTCCATCCACCGGCTCCGCCTCGCACTGCGCTTTCCAAGTGTCGAGGAGAGCCTCCGTGTCGGTTTGGCCCCAGGGCAGCTCGGGCTGGTCAGGACTGAGCATCATGCTCCTGACCTCACACTGCAAATGTCCTAAAGAAAAACGGGATAAGTGAGCAGAAATAAATCCACTGATGTTTGGAAATGATACCGGTTCAAATTTATGACCAATTGTTAGAAATCAGAAGCTATACACACAATATTTATTCATCTATTTAAATGTATACAGTAGACTACATTTCATACATGTAAACCTATGTAGGCTACTCTACATTAAAATGCATTAATGTGGTTTCAAAATACAAGAATTGACTCTTTTTAAGTTCTAGCTAATCTTATTTGCAGTAGGCCTACCTTTCAGAGCTGATATTATTTTAGGATTATTTTATTGTTCATTACCTTTCCGGTTGTAGCTCCTTCAGTAGTCAGATTTTAGATAAAACCATGTGACCGAAGGCCAAATATGAGGTGACTATATTCTTCTGCTGCTAATATGCTGTTGACCTGATTAGGCCCCATACATTTTCATTTTTATCTGTTCATATTTTATATTGACGTGCACAATTTGTGTGTTATTTATGTAAATAGTGCGTCTTTTAAGCTGAGAGCTGCTTTCGTTGTGACTTGACTCTTGACTAGGTTATTGGTGCTGCCTCCCTGTGGCGGTGCCTGTCGGTTGCTATCCAGCCCCCATTCCCCCGTCAGGCCGTGTTTCCCCGTTCAAACAGTTTGCAGTAGCGCCCCTCTGAGGACAAGAGCAGGGTTCAGGTCGGAGGAAACATCTCGACGAGGGAACAGATCAGGACACAACACCTGCGCTGTCCGTGGTCCTGAAACATACTGTCTGTGACATGTCAAATAACTTTGTGACGTACCGAATTTTTTTAAATCTAGTTTTGTTGTATGAGAAGAAGTGAAGAAGCATCAGAGAAGAAAACATCATATTCTGCCTTGTGAAATCGTTAGTGTACGGGATGAAACTGTGATTCGCTTTTGGTATTTTCATACTTGTTTTAAGGAAAGGTTATACCACTTTATGGACTCACAATATATATTTATTTACGTTGAAGTTATTATTTATCAAGTGAACTCCGAACGAGAAGGCTCACAGCTTTTTCATTAGCTATCCTAGTTGTGTTTAAATCTTTTTACTTTTGAACAGTTGTCTTTTTTTTTAAATCAACTGATCGTAAAGTTTTGTAACAAACCTTAAAACCGCACAGCAGGATGATTTCTGTTTATCCTGGCACAGAAACAACATTCAACTTTAACTTACCTTGCATATTCAAAGAACCAGATCCAAATGGTTCATAATGTCGCATCATAAAGCTGCATCAGTTAACAGCTAGGACAGGTAAGGCTCTCTCTCCACCAGCCTCCGTGCTGCTTTGGCTCCCATTCCGTTGGAAACAGGGGGATTGAGATTAGGTTTGACTTCGGGTGAAGCAGACATGCTCCTGCAGTCCCGCTCGTCCTCCCCCCAGCCCTAGCGCGCCTAGTGCGCTTCGCTTCTGCAAGTCGCTTTGTTGCTCTGCGCCTGGCTGTGCGCAAAATAAGACACCAGCTGGAGCGAAGTGACGAGGGAGTGTTTAAAGCTCTCCCTCCTTTCACTCCTATTCACAGTAGACCTACTTGCGTGCGGAGCTTTACCACTCAGATTTGTCTCTGTAGACGTTTCATTCCAAACGTTGGAACCCAACAAACTTATTAACAGCAGCCTCGTTGTCGATAAACAGATAATTCTCCAGTTGTCGTCAGTAGGCTACCTGAGTCTTAATATAAAGACATAAAAGAAAAGAAAAATGTCTTAGTCTTATCTACAAAATAAACACTGTCTCCTCCAGAAACTAACACCTGCTGTTGTCTATCCATTAAAACAAAAGAGAAGCAGCCCATTGTGGCCTGAGTTTTAGTGGAAGATTGGGTTATATGTGCAGGAGCTGGAGCTGGTGACAATTATAAAGCCTGATTTTGTGTAGTTTGTGTTTTAGTAGCCTGCTGTTTATGGTCACATATAGTAGGTGTAGGTTGTGGGTGTTGTTGATCTGCTCATCTCTAAGAGAGAAATGTCACCATGGAGTAAATCACTTCCTCCTCCCATTTAGCCTCCTTCTCTGTGCCTGGGCTGGAAAATGTTTCCTAGGATGTCGTCAGAAATGGCTCCATAAATGCCCACTTGAGTTCATGTGTTATTGAGAAGGACCTGACATCTGACTAACATTATTATCACTCTCTTCAAACCAAGATGTGACCATTTCTGTCTCGTATATTGGGAAGTGACCTAGATATGCTGCAAATCACAGGAAGAAAAGATTTAATTTCAGAAAAAAAATTATATTTCTAGGCTCCACTCTTGATGGTGTGGTCGAGGATCAAGAGCAGGACAGTTTTTTCAGCCTACTGTGACTTAATGTAGCTGTTTCATTGGTTTGAATGGGTATTGGGAGTATTTGAGGTATTGGGAATGTAAACTGTAACACTGACTCACCCCTATTTAAAAATACACACAATCCCCAAAGAGGACCCACTGAGAAAAGTTTGGCTCTGTGGTGTATAGTTAAATAATACAAAAAGCTCTGTGTCTTAACAGCATGCACAAATGTGGACCCTCCCCAACACAGAACTCACATAACAACCACTTGATTTCAGGAGAATCCTCTGTGACCATTACTCAGGTGGATTTTCAAGCCCTGTGCCCTTGGCTTCACTCCACCTTGTCTCTCCGTTGTCCTCTTCTCCCTCTTTTCTACAGCAGTTTTCCTGTTCTAGCTGCTCGTCCGTCTCAATCTGGACACCATCTGTTTAAAAGCCAAAGCCACAAACCTCACATTTCCATCTCCTCCTCCTCGTCTGTTGATGCAAGTACATGGGCATTTTGATTTCATCCACAGTAAAACAATTCAATCAACAGCAGGTTCAAATTTTATATGAAGGAATAGTTTGATGTATTTTAATGGTGAGATGTTTGTTTGTTTACATACAGGATATTACTGCGAGTGCAGTGTTTTTTGGTTCCTCCATACTTTCTCACACTTTCCATCACTTTAAGTCAGTTTACCATTTGTTTAACCCTCACGTGTCTCTATGAAATCACACATTGTAAGTACAAAGGAGCTGAAGTTGTTAAATTTTAATCTGATTCCTATTTTTGCCCACCCCCTCCCTCAGTCATGCTTTGTGTCTGGTTACCATCTGCTGTTGTAATTTGTTTCTGCTGATTTGGAATCAGATCTAATCGATCGGTTCAGTTGCCATGGTTACAGTAGTGAGAAGGAAGGGGGAAGACAGGTGAGACAGCTAGACACTTGTCGAGATTAAAAATAAAGAATTGATCGACTATATCGGGGCTGCAACAACTATTGTCATTGTTACTTGATCTGGTGGTTATTTTCATTAACAATCAACCATTTAGTGTTTAAAATGAAAAGAAATTAAGGACAAATGCACATCAAGAATTGTGAGACCCTAAGTATTTTCCATTGGCTTGTTTTGTCTAATTAAAGGTCCAAAAACCAAAAGCTAGTGAATTAAAAATAATGTTAAACCCAGAAAGCAGCAAATTGTCACATTTGAGAAGCTGGAACCAAGCAGTATTTAAATTTTTTGCTTGCTATAGAACTTAAATGATTAATTGGTTATTAAAAGCTATTAATTTTTGGTTGATCAACTTAAGTTTATGAACTCATTGTGGCTGTATTTCCACTGAGAAGATGGTTTCAAAATGAAATGCACTCATTTCTTTTCTCAAAACTTTGAAAGAAATTAGTGGGAAGCCATTTAGGAAACACAGGCCCATAGACAAAACTGTTACCAAGTAAACAGATGAGCAATGCACTGATTTAATGAAGTGGAGCTGTCCCCCTCGCCTTCTGTTTACTTACTACAAAACAAACAATCAAGCCCGTCTAACAAGTTTTTATACAGTTTTCAGCACTTGGATGAGTTTTGCTGTTAGGCCGGTGCATAAAATCCTTAAATAACTGAAAGAACAACCCAGAGGAAAACAATGAGAAAGTAAACAAATCCTTAACTAGATTTAATTGGTACAGAGATGCTTAAGGAAAAGCACACCTGAGAGTGACACTGGGGAACGCCTGTGCGATGTTCTAAGTGAGTCCTTGAAACTTTAAAGCAGCAACTTGATGCTGATTCTAACTACTTAAATAGGACTTCTGTTCAGCCATTTCAGTAACGCAGACATTACAGAGGACACCTGTTTCTAACTCCTCACAGGAAGTTTATGGACAATGGAGAGCGGTAAAATGTTAATGTGACAGAGGGAGACATGCACTTATTCTGGAAACAGTGACTCTTATCACATGTCTGTGTTGAAACATTAAATAAACATGCATGAGGTTTGTCTGTTTTTCACTCTATTGATAATGTAATTCAGTGTTAGTCATTGTTAGTTACAGTTCAGTGGAGGTTGCTTTGATGCTTTGCTTTCAGGCACTTTGGCTCACAAAGCCTTTACTCAGCTGACAAACACATAACAAGTGACCTGTTATCCCAGTGAGGACAGAAGAGAAGAAAACAGTAGAGAAAAGAGCTAAACGGCCCTCAACAAACTGCAAAAACTGCAGTGGGAGTGAACATTTAAAATAATGTGTACACTGACAGACCAAAAAAAGAAAAATGACAGGATGGAATACACAAAGTAATAAAAGTTGCAGCTTCCTTGTATGTAGATGATTTAGATAGCTTTTTATTTTAGCCGTGACCAATTCAAATGATTAGAGTAACTCAGGTCTGTCTCAGTGGGAATGTTTTTAGACTTGGTAACATTTTCAGCCCATAATACTGTGTGAAAATTTACAGAAATGGATCCACCTTGAAATCAGGCTGCCATGCCTACTGTGACACAGCAAATGTTAAAATTGTACTAGCAAATTTACATAAGAAGAATCCAAAAATGTTGCAGGTGGTACCAAAGGTTTACCATTTACTGGCACGAGCTGCTAGAGGAGACTAGTACATACAGGCAGTACAGTGTTATTTCTAGTAATTCCATTTCAATGTAGCTATATGTCATTAAAAATACTTCTTGTCATGTATATTTTTGTTCCTTTCCTAAAAAATTATTGTGCATTTCATCACTGTTGTAATTGAAACAGAAGAGGAACTCAGCAAAGATATTTAAGCTTTTGAAAGAGGCCTTTTCAAGGCCTAAACTTTCTCCATCTGCCATGACTTGAATGACTTTCATTTTGTGTCCGTGCCAAAAAGCCATACTGAAAGTGTGGCAAAAGTATCAAGGCGTATAGTAAATCTCAGCTCTGCTCACTTATGGTCATTCCAGTGATTAGATCAGAGACATTAATCTGTTAAAGGTTGCAGTTTGCATTTATTGCAGTGATTCTGTTCTGCCAAATATATAGCCACAATTCATGACTTACCATCTGGATGGCTGTTATTCACTTTGGTCTTAACCTCCCAGTGCCCTGGCAGATACTATCAAACTGTGATTAGGCCATAAACTGCATCAAATCAGTCTCTTGCTGCCATCTAGTGTTAAAAATGAGGAAGTATTGTACTTTCCAGCATAGTTGGAAGTGCATGGGTTAATGGACGATGAGATTTTTTGGCACAAATGCAAAAAATGTACTCCCATTCCACCACATTGTGGTTTTGGATTTTTCTAGCATTATTTAAATCAAACACAGCACTGAACTTGATGATTCTGCTTATGTTAAATGTCTAGAGCAGACATCTCCCAACTGGAACTTTGAAGGTTCGTGCCTGCAGTCCACATGTTGAAGTGTCCTTGGGCAAGACTCTGAACCCCCCAAGTTGCCTGTGATGGCGGCGTGTATGGGCGCAGCGGCCTGGGGCCCCTCGGCTCCAAGCAAAGTTTCATTGTACGTGTCACAATGTTACAATAAAGTAAAGCTTCTTCTTCTTCTAAATCTCATCCAAAGATTTCTGCCACAGTTCCTCTCCACAGATATTATACCACATATTTTACAGGACATCACCAAAGGAAACTTCTGATGTGGATAATATTTTATCAAAGAAAAACAAATCTGATATCAAGCCTGTTTGTATTTCTTTAACATCTTAATAATTTGTCAGTAAGTCTTTTGTAGCCGTACACCCTGCAGCAGCAAAAATAAACAAATGCTCAGCAAATAAGCTTACTTAACTCAGATAGTCATTGTGAAATGACTTAACACATTCACAATAAATAATATATTTTACTTTTGTAGCATCTGGAAATTATTGCAACTTCTACTAATGTAAGTATGTATAAGCATTGCATTTAAAGTGTGGCCATATATACAAATGACCAAACAGTAATTTTCTTACATTTGCCACATGATGGCACTATAGGCTACATTTTAACATCATTATTCAGCACTGTCATACTTAGTGAGAAAGTCAAACTTGCTGAAAACATCTGTATTTTGTGTATGTACCTTTATATACCCCATGCACTCTGTAATTTGCGTGGACATGGTTATAATTAAAGGAGGTCCTCATGTGCCAGAATGAAACATGTGGCCCAGCCTGATGACCTTGTAGAGCACACACCAAATAGCTGAAATGTTAGAAGGAGTTGTGAAACATACTTGTGAGCATTGCATACAATGTTGCAACAAAACAGCCTTGAGCCATGGGGTTCAATATTTCACAAACCATGAAAGTATAGCTCACAGCATAACACTCAATCCCTTCTTGTCACAGCAGAGGGACTGCAGCCCGAGGCTCAATATGAAGAGCAATGAACACCAACCTACTAGTGTGGTGATGGCCACAGCAATGAAAAGAGCACCAGAATGTCTCATAGCTTTAAATATGAACAATCCATATGGCGGTTTGACAAATACCTACAACTCAAATCAATCTCAGTAAGTGAGAGAAATGGGAGGGGGGGACCGAGAAGAAAGCTGACAAAGCACATCCATATGTTTCAGGCATAGCATCCCAGCGTGCATGTGCACCTACAGTATGTGCTAATGTGTAGCAGTTGCTCATTAACCCCCTGTCTCACCACACTTCCTTCCTTCCTTACTGTGGCTGCATAGATGATACTCAGAACTGGTTTTGGTTCCATATGTGTGCCAGCTCGCGCCTGCCTTTGATGCCCATTTACTAACTGTTTTGTTTTGTTTTTGTGAGTGGGTTTGGCCCTATGCAACTGTTTCTTTACATGAAAGTAATGCAACGGAAAACTGAGCTGGAGACTGGTAACAACGGAGTGACATGATGACTCAGTCAGATCTGCTTCATGTGGTTTGAAGACATCGGGAGTGGCACACAATTTTTAAGCATCTTCCACACAGACAGACATGACCTCAAAAGTCCACTCGTATAAAAAGACACAAAAACAGAGGCATGATAAAACAAAAATAAATACTGGATTCTGCCCTTTTCTGGGTAGACTAAAAAGGAAAAGACAAGCAGTCTTGGAGTAGAGGACACATGTGCAGGAACACTATTGTAAATACACCCTGTGTTTAAATCTGCAGCTGATTAAACCTACACACTCTTGGCTTTTAGTGGCACATAAATTCCAGTCCTGTTAAAAAAGTGCTTCCACCACAGCAGCTGATTGACTGATGGCCCTGACTGCTGATTGACAGCACCTGTGAGAGTGCAAATGAGCCACAGACTTGGTGTATAAATGCATCATGTTGAGGGTTGTTCTAAAGTGAGCTGCATTTTCTGTTATTGTGCTGGTGTAGTTGTCCTTTACAGCTGACTGTCTGCTTTAGGATGGGTGAGTACTTTTTTTTTTTGGTTTTGTTTTAAGTTGGCTCTGGCATTTTTTAAATTGCTTTTATCTCTAATTCTTGGATCGGTAGCAAAGAAAGTCTTGATCGTGTATGCCCATCAGAGCTCTGGCTCATTCAATGCTGCAGTCAAAGATGCTGCTGTGGAAGCTCTAACTGCTCAGGACTGCACAGTGGAAGTATCTGACCTGTACACCATGAAGTTTAAAGCAACTGCTACTGCTGAGGATATCCTGGGTATCTAAACATCCCACAGCCACTGACTGAATAAAGTGTTGCTGTTGACTGCTATTCCATACAGGTAACGCTTACTCTCTCTACAGGTGAAGTTAAAAATGCTGAGAACTTCTGCTACTTGGAGGAGACTAATCTGGCATGGGAGGAAGGAAGACTGTCTCCTGATATCACAGAAGAGCAACGTAAAGTCACAGAGGCAGACTTGATCATCTTTCAGGTAACACCTGAGTGGCAGTAATGTGTTTATGCTCAGAGTCTTCCCCATTGAGACTAATGTTAAAACCTTTTTAAGTTCCCCATGTACTGGTTCACTGTGCCTGCCATCATGAAGGGCTGGCTGGATCGAGTGCTTACAAAAGGCTTTGCCCATACTCAGGAGAGGAGATACAGCCAGGGGATCTTCAAGGTAAGGATCATAATAAAGTATTGGGTGTTTTGTTCCCTTTTTGTGAAAGGAACTTCTCTCTGCCCAGGACAAGAGAGCCATGTTGTCCTTCACCACTGGGTCTTGTGAGTCCATGTTCAGTGCAGATGGCATCAATGGAGACATGAATGTCACACTGTGGCCACTGCAGGTATTTTATAAATAAATGTCGTGTCCTGAACTACTGTGGCTTTAAGGTTCTAGCTCCTCACATCTTCTGGGCTCCAGCTTATGTTGCTGATGAGGCCCGCAGCACCATGCTGGAAGCCTGGCGTACCAGGCTTCAGGGCCTCCTGGGAGAGGAGCCACTCTCCTTTACCCCCTTGGACTGCTTTGATGGGGAGAAGGGTTTCCAGCTGAAGCCTGAAGTCTACGAGAAACATGCCACCCAGGAGTTTGGCCTGACAGTTGGGACCCACTTGGGAAAACCACTGCCACCCAACAACCAGATGAAAGCTGGCGTCTGAATATGGTGCCTTAATCAGTGTTGTGATAATAAAATGCATCTTGACAGCAATATTCTGACTGTTATTTGGAACATACTGACTTGGTTAAAACTTCTTGCTGGTAATGAAATCAGGACTACAAACATTGGTTTCAGTCAGCGTTTGGAAGAAACCCTGGCCTTCTAAATTTTCAGAAAGTCACGCCACTTTGAGACTAATGGCTTTATTGGTCTCAAATCTGCACTTCAAGTTTTCTTTGTATGGGAAAGCCCAAAGCAATTTGGATCAAACTGGAAAAATCTGCTGCTTCTGAACTTGACTTTCTCTGGTCTAGTCCTGTCTGAGGACTTTAGACCATGGCAGCTTAAACACCTTGCCACACCACGTGGTTGGAAGTGACAGAGTTTTGCTCTGTAATTGCAGGATATGTAAAGGTAACATGACAGCTGTCTCAGGTGATTGGGGAAAAAAAATTCCTTTTGCCAGAATCCATCCTTTCAGATGTACTAGGCCTCTCAGTAGTTCTTGCTTTGACAGGAGGAAGGGTATGCAGCTCAAGGTCCATGGATAAACCTGAAGCATTCTGACAGTGGGATTCCAAGGGAAACCACTCCCACTGAGCAGCCAGATCAAAGCTGGACGGTAGTGAAATGAATGCTGCTCTTTTGGTTTTGCTGGTGCTATAAAACTATTGTGCTAATTCTTATGGACCTGTATGTTTGGGTGAGTTAATGTCTGTTGTGCAGTTTGCTTTAGGCTGGTGTTCTTTACATTGTATAGAAACCTAGTACTGACAGGCAAAGAGTCTGCTTGCATGCAAGTTTGGCCTGTACAAAGAAGCACAAGTGGCCAAGCACCGCTACCAGAGTAGTCGCTTTTGTTTGGGTATAGAGGAAATGAGAGGGAGGTAGCAGAGAGAAAGGTGGGGAGTGAATGCACACTTAAGGAAATGGCTTTGTACTTGGATGTCCAGACTACAGCCAGGGACAAGTAGGAACTTGAGGGTGTGCATATTTCACAACTGGGGTTCCACAAGGTCTCACTGTATGTTTGTGTTGTCAGGTAGTTTATCACCTGTCTCTGCAGCCAGATGTTCTAAGTTGCTTCTCTTTACTGTGGAAAAAGCACCAGAAATTTGATACTGAATAATTCTGACCTATGCAAGACATTTTAGTATATTGGCTCCATTTTAAAACTTAAATTTCTTGACAAGACATTTTAGTATATTGGCTCCATTTAAAAACTTAAATTTCTTGACTCTGAAGTCTTGAAATGTGTGAATCATTATGGAATTTTCTTCATCTAGATCTACACAATAATGCCATATCCTACATTTTTAGTAGTGCCTTTTGTCTACTGTATACATCATTGTCCCAGAAAGCCATAGTGCTGGAGTTAAATTGGTGACATTTAGTGTTATGTCTGTAAAAGTTATGCCATGGTCTCTGATCTGGTATCCATCTTGCTCCCTATTGTCCATCACAGCTCTCCCACCCTGGCTGCAGGGAAGTTCAATGGGAGGAAGTGGATACCATCTTACACCCGACATGGAACAGAGCCTGTGGAAAACCAGTCTTGTTTTGCAGAAACTTCAAAAACACATTTGGATTAAAAAATGCTCAGAAGAAGCCTGAATATCACATCTTTTTATGAAGCATACGGTACAGTTTCTTGCTAAGAGTTGGATGAGAAGATTAATACCACACATGTTTCATGACTCCGCTAAGCTGCCACCAGCATCAAGTTGGGTTAGCTTAGCATAAAGACTGGAAAGTGGAGAAATGCTAGCTTGTTCTACTTACAAAATGTGTCTGCCAGCACCTCTAAAACTCACCAATTAGCACATTACAGTCAATTAGTGAACAGAGTTTGTTGGTGGGCCTGGTGGTGCTTCTGTTACATTTACAGAGCCAGGCTAGCTGTTTCCTACCTGTTTCCAGTCTTGTAAAGCCAAATTAGCCAGCGGATAGCAATAGCGTAATATTTACTATACAAATGTGAGTTCTATTGATCTTCTCACCTACTGTAACTCTAGGCAAAATAAGTATTCTAATAAAGTTGAACATGTCAAACATATACAAATAATATGAAGACTGAGCAATTCATTGAGAACATATTGCTGAACCAGACATTATTGATTGTTTGCTGACTTTTGGGTGTTTTGATTAGGCTATAAGTGGTTCTCTGTGTTTGCACCAGCTGTCACTGAGTTGACAACAGGCCAGCCATTAAATACTATGATCCAAACGGACAGGGAAAGACAGAAAGAATTGGTGAAGTGCAGGAGAAAATGTGGCTGGCTGAGAAGTTAGGCTAATTATTTATATGATTCATTCTCTCACTCTTTCAGGGGCTACATTGAAATCCAAGCAATTCTACCTCAACAATAACCGCAGCTTGTTGAACTTGTGTGAGTAGGTCCATGTGTGTATATATGTATATGAGGAAAATGAGGCACAGTTCAGGGTGGTTGTATTAAGATTGGCAGTAGGAAAGGCTTGTAATGAAGAACTACTGGCATTTCCCTTTATGCTTTAAGTGAAGTTCCAAATGACCCCTTTACTTTTGTATCACAAAGTGTCCATTGTATGTTCCCCATCATTATGGAAAGGAGGAATTCACTCTGACATCTGAGCACAATCATCCCCTCCCAAACTACATCAATCACAGTAGCCTCTTAAATCAAGATTTTCCTGCAGCACATAGCTAGAGTCCCGCAATTCTTTTTAAAGACAAAAAAAAAAATACAATTTACAGTTCAATCAAATAATTCTTCTCTCACCAGTAACTCAAAAATGCAACATTTTGTTTTCTCATAAGTTCAGGGTGTAAACTACTTGCAATAATATATGAATTTGCAAGTATGTGTGCATTAAAGATCATTCTCACAAGGCCCTACATGCTTGTGATCACAGCCCGAACAGCTGGGTGGTTAGAAAATAATAAAAAGGGTTGAGTACAGCAGCTGTGGAGGAACTTAACCACAAACAGAGCCAAGGAGCTCTTTACAAGGTCCAAATACGACAGAGAAACAGGGGTAAAAAATTATAACAATTGCTGCCTTCTTCCGCTTTTCATGAACCTCTGCAGGATGTGTCTTTCATGCCCTGCTCTTTTCATCCTCACCTCCATCCTTCTTTTGTGTTAGTCATCTCCTCTCACCAGTGTGAAAATACACAGGAAACTTTTACCACAATAGGACTTTTCACACATCTTTTGCTCATTAGGAACTTGAATGTTCACTGGAGAGGGATTCCTCAGGGGATCGGACTGCAGCTCACCACATATACGTTAATGCTTTCACAAATCACGCTCCTGTCAGGCACTTCACTCAGCTCGGCTGGCAGTGATGGGGCCCAGGCATGCCTGCACTTTGCAACTTTGCAACTGTTACAAGGAAGGTCTGCCATCATTGTTTTGATGAATGGATGGACAACAGGCTATTGGCCTCCATTCAGGCCCTGATGTATAGAGTGCCTGGTACTCGGAGGCTGATGTGAGGCAAAGCTGTTTTGTATTTACAAGCAGAGGTTGAGTGCAGCTGGGAAGCTCAGGAAAGGCTTCTGGTGATTTGGGGTGTCAGAATGAAGGGGTTAAGACCGCAGTCAGCCATTACGCTCCTCTCTGAATCTGTCTCTATACTGTAATGAGAAGCAGATCCCTCCTATCTCCACCGCAGCCTGTAGAACGATGGGAGAAACACACGCATGGTGAAAATCATGTTTGATCCTTTGCTCCAACATTGACCCCTCTTTTGTTTCTATCTTAACTCAATCTTCTTTCTGGCCTTTGTTTCACGCATGTTACTTAATGCCACTGTCACACATTGGTGTAAACAATAAACACTACAAATGGCCTCATGTTTTTGTCCGCGAGTAACAGATACAACTGGAGTTTCTGAGTTATAGATGAGACTATGAAGAAGGATTAGATGTAGGAGAGTGCTAGATCTACTGCACCTCACTAGGAGCTCCAGGCGCACAGGGCTCAACTCCAGATGCTGCCTGCGCTGCCACATCCTGGTCATAATCCCCCTGCAGTGCCTCGTTCACTTCTGTGTATTTATCAGTGGGGAAACCATGAATGGGAACCACCTGGGACAGAGAGAAATGGCTTGAGGTAATTTTCCATCGCATGTTGCGATGGTGAATTTGATCAGTCATTTTGTGCCACAGGGTCATTTTTAAAGGACATGATATTTGCACTGTAACGTCATTTAGATCTTTCTCCATTAAAATGAGTCAAGCTTCATTCTAGAAGCGTGTTTACCTACATTTCTTATTCCATCATCTTGTTTGAGTTATGTAGAGTGTTTGTAGCCAATAAAGCTGGCAGTGTTAGGTCTTCTCCCTGGATTCAGGATCAAACTTGACATTTTCTGTATGCACTTGAGATGTCACTTTGCCTATGTTGAATTGGTGTGTTTACCACTGATGTAACTTAAAAGTTTCAAACTGAAGTTAAACCTTAAACCCGATCCATGTGACTGTGCATCAGCACTGAGCCTTTCATGCACAGTAACATATACTAGCAAGGCAAAATCTACAGGTAACGCCAGTAGCCGGTGAATCTGTTGCTGCAGGCTTCTCCAAAATAATGCATTCCAACAGCGCCTATGGTCCATTTTTCATTTAGCATGACAGTACAATAGGGGTGAAAGTTAAACTCTTTGACAGCAGCATGAAGTGACAGTGTGTTGTAAAGCACTAATCAGGATTGTCAGGATAGGATTACTAGATTCGAGCTGAAGCCCCCAGGAAGTGCAGTAAGATGGACACTTTCTCATGCAGTCTGTGGACAGATTCTGTCATTTACTAAGCCACTCTGGACACTCACTGTCCCCTGGAGCAAGACGTTTCCTCAGCTATTACCTATCTTCTACATGATCCCAGTGACCCTTCTCATATTAATGAACATGGTGTGAGTGTGTATGCATGTGTGTAAGAATGCAGAATGGATAGGGTTGTACAGAAACCTGTAAGGCTTGGGGAAAGCACAACTTGCACTTACTGCTGTGTGAGTTACTGCTGTGTGCAGAGGTGATAGACTAAAGACAGTCAACCGTATGAAT